CCCAGGTGCCGCTGTGCCACCTTTTTCCTAAAGAGACCCAGACCCTCACATCCCCAGATTGCAGGGCCCCATTATTTCATCGTGTTGTGCATTAAGAAAAATCGGCACAGAAAAAATAAGGTACTTGGGAAAAGAAGAGTCATCCCCAGGTAGATGGAGTAGGTAGTCTTCCTCAGGGTGTGTTTTCAGGAAATTTGGAAGCCTCCCTCACCCCCCTACCCCCACCAAGTACTTTGCTTTCACAAAGCCTGACATTCTATAACTGGACTTGTGTTTTGGTTATGTTTTTAAAAACTCTTATAAATTTTCAAGCATTAAGGAGATGACCTAACAACTGTTGGTGATCAGTGGGGTTTAAAAAATTATTTAATTAGAGACTGAATGTGAAATATAACACATAAGGTATCATCACCCTTGATAACACTGTGGGTAGGTAGTTATTCTAGAACCTGGCATCAGCTCCATTCCTGAAAAGCTTTGGTGACTGAGGGGGAGAGAGAATTCAAAGCTACTTCATCCTAAAGTGTAGTGGGGGAGCATAGGATGGTAGAGAAAGATCCCCAGATGGGATGTTTCGACACGCCCAGAGATACTTTGTCCCCATGTTGTTTCTGGGTCTAGCAGTTTGACCCAAGAACCAAAACCTGCATGGAGTTTTCCAATGTCCATCCAGTGGTCTGTCCACCGTGTACCTTTGGAGCTGATGACGTCTCCATTCCCCAAATGGGGTCACTACCTTATGGGGTTTCTAGGTGGCATTCTGTATGCACTTAACAAAGGCGGTAACATCTGTAAGAGTTTCTGCTATTTTCAAGCTATAATTGTGCTTCTGCTTATAAAGAGCTAGAATGGATGTGTTAAGCCAATATTTTGGCCTCATTCTTGCCCTGTTTCTTTGCTATGAAGGCTTTTTATGGAGCTTTTCTGTTTGTTTGTGAACCGTGTCTCTCCCTCCCCATTTCTTGTAATGCTGTTGCTTTATCTCTTTTCCATTCATATTTTTTTCCTTCCTTTTTGCTGCATGGAGACTCTCTGCTGTACAAGTGTAAGTATTTTTTGGTGGCTCTGCAGTTTCTGGCTGTACTACTTTGCTTTCTTGTGCCCCATCTGCTTCTGCGCTGCCCGGCTGGTTTTTTTGGAGACTCAAGTGTCGTCATCCATCTGTGGATCCTGCGTGAAACAGGCAGCAATTTAGAGACAAGATTGGATTTTACAAGATGGTTCAGCTAGCAAAACAGGCGATGAATTTAAAAGATCCTAGCTGTGCCTAAAACCAAGCAGAGTGTTGATGAAGAGGGTACCAACCTTCAAGAGGGGAGAGGTGGTTTTTCCCTTTGTGTACAAAAAAAAAAAAAGTGTGATTACTTAAATGTCCGGGTTTTGTTTTGGGGTTTTTTTCCTGATTCTTGCTTCCCAGGGTTGTAGAAAATTGGCATCATGATTTGCTTCTTGTATGAGAAGAATTTTCCTAATTCATTTCCCAGCTTTTTTTTTTAATCAACTGTGTTTTTGTTTTGTTTTTTGCTTTTTTGTTTTAACCTCAGGGAAAAGAAAATTAGGGATTCTTGAGCTCAAAGTGAGAGTGTTGTTTATTATTCTTTGCACGAACTTGATAAAATGAACAAGGCAGCTTCTCCATCCTATTTTTGTGGTGATAGAAACAATTTAACTCTCGTTTTAAAAAAAAAAGTATGTTAGGAATTACATGTTAAAAGTGAGTTTAACAGGAAAAAAATGTTGTGCTGTTCGTCAGACTCCAGCCTAAGTCAAAGCATTAAAGTAGACCTATCACTTGAGTGACACGAGAATTGTTTTAATTCCATTATAAAAATCAGATCAAATGAGTAAGATTTCTGAGCAACGTAGACATTGTGTTGCTTTTGATTCCTAGAGAATAGGGCCCTGCCTTTCATCCGTAGTTGGCCACGGTGGGGATTTATTGATGGTTGGTGATGTCAGGATGAGAAAGAAGTCTTACATGTAGGGTTTTCCTTCTAAAGTTACTTTTTAAAGGGTTCAACACTGTTCCTCCTATTTCCTGAGTATGTGAATTTGAAAATAATTTATTACAAAATTCATTTATAAAGTAATTTTGTCTAGGCCTAAAATAATAGTTAACCATGAATTGATTTGTAAAGAGTCCTTTGGTGTGTGTACCTCTTCTGCTTCAGGCCCTGACCCTCTTCATCTGAGGGGCACTTCTTGATTTCTCCTGTCAGTAAATACTCATTGACAAATGTCCAGGGCAGGAAATGAAGACTAGGAAACAGTCTGAGAAAATCAGCCCTTTCATTTTGATACAAGAGCGTTAACAGTTCTGAAGAGGCTGGTAAAGCTAGATTTTTTCCCCCCAGGTTGCAACTTATCTAATCAACAGGTGTGAGGGGGGTTGGCAGGAGTGCATATAAACCAGATTTCTGGAGAAACATAGAATATTTGTTCCTAAATATATATTTGGGTAGATAGTCATAGCTCATTGTTATATTTCCTCTTGCTTTAGGTTTATATGTAACGGGATCATAGGAGTAAGCCAGTAAAGAGTGAGCAAGTTCAGTTTTTTATCTAAAACTGTTAAGGAAGAAAAAATTCGAAAGAAAGGAAAGAAAAATAGGAGAGAAATCAAATTCACTCCCCCCCATTGTTATACCTAAACCATAAGAAAGAGATCATGAAACTTTCCGTGTATCAGAAGAAATGTCTAAAATTGAGTTGCATTTTTAATACCGGTTTCAGAAACTAGTCTGATTTCGAGTCCTGCCTATTTTAGCAAAAGTCCATTGTCCCTGTCCAAATGTCAAAAACTTCGAAACTAACAGATATGTCATATACAGTGGGAGAGTTTCACATGAAATGCAATTAGGAGGTATTTGCTCTTGTACAGAGCATATGAAATGAAGGATAGCTTTGAAGCATTAGGAAGTCAAACCAAGAAGAGCGAACTAGTTTCCCTTTGGTTGATGTCTGCCATCAAATATCCTGATGATTTCCTAAATTCCTCAGTTTGTCTGTAAAATTAGATTGAGCTGAATGACCTAGTTACAGATTGGCATCAGTTTGTAAATGTCTCTTTATATTTTCATATTGCTTATAAATATTATGTAGTCTATGTATTCTTTTATATATAATTATACATAAAATTCCATTTCATATATTTAAAATTGTAATATATTTGAAATGTCATAATTGTCATGTGTTTTACACACATTTGGCCTCTGTTATAAAGGTTATGTAGGGAAACGAGCCAGATTATTTTTGCCCATGAACACTCTTTCTATAAAATCTAATCAAGAGTCACAGGAAAAAATGTTGGAAGACATCGTCATTCCATGCATTTTTAAACCTCTTTCTTCTTTATTTGTGGCTGTCTAAACAAATTGGCTGGAAATTATATCCCCAGCTGCTTCTTGATCCTTTTACCCATCAAGGTTGTGCACAAAGTGGTTGGAATACTAAAGACATTTTCATTAAACATAGCGTATATTTCAGGAGTTTGTGTCTCCTGAAAATTATTTTTAGAGGTTCACCTATGAATAGACCAGTCAGTCCACTTTCCTGTTCAGTCGACTGCAAGGGCGTTTTGAGAAGGGAGAACAACCTGGAAAGCTGGATCCCTTTCCAGTTGCATTGGATTGACTGTGTTTTTTACTGAACCCACAAAGCCTCTTGTTTACAAATAGATACTCCTCAGATCATCTGCCTTTAACTAAACCTTGAAAGAACCAAATCACCAAGTTTTCACTGTATATTTCAGGAAGACCAGTCTGGATTTAAATGTAATTGCTTATCTTTTCTCTTCCTTTTCTCTCAATAATAAGTAACAGCAAAAGGATACTATTGTTAAATCTGGCATAAAATTGTTAGAACTGTAAAGTTGTTTGCTTTAAAGGTCAGTATGAACCATTCATTCCTTGAACCAAAGAGTGTCAACTGTGTGGATGTTTTTTGAGAAAGCCTTACATGGCACCCTATTAAATGAAAGACTACCAAGTAAGTTCTGTTATCTCTTATTTTAGACAAATGCTAGTTTCCAGTATCAGACCAATTAAAACATCCCTCAAGTCCATTCATCTGTATATTGATTTTGAAGGGTGCGGTTCGGAGGGATGCTGGGCCAGCCTCACAATGGGTCTGTCCCCGATGCTGCTCCTAATGCCGGCTCGAATGGGAGCTGTTGTCATCTCTGTGACTCAGTTTCTTCCTTCAAATTCGTTTCTCTAGGTGATTCGTTTCTCTAGGTGACCTCCCGTTTTCACGCTTGTGGTCCTGTTGTGGGAGAAGCTAATTACCCTCTTTAGATTTGGCTTTACATCATCAGCAGTTGGCACCAATGCTTAAGATGTTTTGGTGGTTTGGGTTTAGGTTTCATTTTTTAAAAGACTAACAGGATGAAGGACTCTTACTGAGAAGTGACAGCAGACGGACTTCCAAGTCATGGCATCTTTTTCCCAGTTAGCCTTTGCCCATAATATAAAGATCAGAATCTCAGTGGCAAAAGTATGAAACAAAACAGTTACAGTGCTTAAATCCTGAAAGGGACAAAGAGTTGGGCGTTGCCTTGCATCAATAATGTTTGATGTTCTGGTGGTAATGAGCAGTGGATAGTTGTAGTTTCAATTGTTAGCGACTGGTGTTTACAATCTTTTAATCTGTTTTTTAATATCCATTTTAATATCCTCACGCGCAGCTTGGAATTACATTCCGTATCTTTCATTGTTCCTTTCCCCATATAAATAGAATGTAACTGATTAGGGCTGGAGGCAAGAAGCAAGCAGGGGGCTGTATCAGTTGAGAACATTATAAACATTTAGAAATGTATGGGTTCAGTCTTTCCAGTCAGGCTGTCAGATGTGACCAACCATCCTCTAAAGCAGCAAAACAAGTAGTGTAAACATTTGAGCCCAGATGTTTCTCCACCCACCACCCACCCCCAGAAAGGTTTCCGAAGTTTGAAAGGCAAGTTTCCTGTGAATACCTAAGTGCTTTCTTTATTTCATTGCTAGATGACCCCTAAGTCCAAAAGGAAGAGTATCCATAGCCGGATGCTGCGACCTGTTTCCAGAGCCTTCGGTGAGTTATTTCTGAATGCCCGCCATTTCCCTATAACCATGAAACACCCCCAGCGGGGACCTCGAACCACCTCCGGGATGCCTCCCAGGGATGCTCTGTATGAGTAAATGTGGACAGAGAGCGTGAAGTGATTTGTGAGCCCGTGTTTGCTATTCCGTGATAGAGTGACTTTGAGGAATTCTGTAATGCGTCTGTATGCAGGGCACTTCAGCCTGGGGCTCTGCTTTATTTCAGAGATGGAGTTTGATCTCGATAAAGCGCTGGAGGAGGTGCCCATTCACATCGAGGACCCGCCTTTCCCGTCCGCCCGACAGGAGAAGCGGAGCTCGGGGTTTATCTCCGAGCTGCCTTCCGAGGAGGGGAAGAAGCTGGAGCACTTCACCAAGTTAAGGCCAAAGCGGAGTAAGAAGCAGCAGCCCACCCAGGCGGCGGTAGGTGGCCGGGAGGGGCCCCCTCTCCCCTCGCCCTTTCCTCCCCGGGGGAGGGCGGGGTGGGCGCGGGCGCCTGGCCCAGCCCGGACGCTGGCAGCGAAGGGCAGCAGAACCGGCCCGCCGGACGCTCGAGCACAGCCTGTCCGCTGGGCGCCCAGCAGCTTTTGAAAAGACACTGCTTTAAGTTTCCAACGCTTCGGAGCAGAGTTGCCCTTGGAAGAAGCCCTTAGAAAAACAGCGGTCGCGTGGGTGCGATAAATGGGCTACGTGTGTGGAATTTTTCACGTCTGAGTGCGACACGATGGAAAAGAAGCACCAGAGCATTTGCTGGCGATTGAAAGTGGCTTGTGCGTGACTGGGGGGGTGCACACGCTACTCCCCGTCCGCCGCCCGGTCCTGGGCTCTGCCGACGCCTTTGCTTTGGCTGACGTGCGAGCCCGCAGGGGTGCAGAGGCCGTCGGGGGGAGCCGCTCTGGTGCCCCCACACGACAGCTCCCGCGCCTGCCGGAGGAGATGGGATTGTTGGTGCTGAGCGGCTCTCGGGCTCGTGTCCTCCACACCTGCTGTCTCTCTTGCTCACCTTCCTTGCTCCGCAGTCCGCTCTGCGCCCGGCCACCTCTGCAGCTGCCCCAGGTCACTCCCGGCCGCATCCTGTGCGCGCTTGTCCGCTGTCCTCTCACTTGATGTCTCAGCGCTTACTTGACACAGAAAACCCCATCCTTCCCGAAAGCGATTTCCCGTGGGCCTCTGAGGCCCGCAGGCTTCTTTTCCACCCACCCCGCTGGTGAGGGCATCGAGTGTGTTATTTGCTGCCTGGGCCCCGTGGTCAGAACCCGTGGTTACCATCTGTTGACTTCTGCCCTGTCTGCTCTGCTCTGGGCTCAAGTGTTCCCCTGCCTCCTGAACTTAAGTGTCCCAGAGCACCTCGGGCTCGGCACATTCAGAACTGGGAGCTTCTCTGTCTGTAAACCCACCTTTCCCTCCTAGCACCTGCCACCCACGGAGCATCCCTCCTAGCGCCTGCCCCGCACGGAGCATTGACAATTCAGAAACCGTGATATGATCCTGAACACCAGGTCCCCACTGCCAACCCTGATCTGCTGTCTGCCTTCCTCCTAGTCATCCCTGACGTTGCTGCTTCCCAGCCTGGGTCTCAGGCCTCCACAGAGCTGCAGCCTTCTTCCTGTCACTTCCCCTCCATGCCCCACATATCTCTTGGGCTGACGACCATTTATCTTTCAGATCTCCACTTGCCTCAGTGTTCCAGGAAACCCTCCCTGTCTCCACCTCTGTGTTCCCATAGGTCTGTGCTTACATGACTCCAGGGGAGTTCATTCTCACAGACTGGTTTTGCACAGTGCACAACCTGAACAACCCTCCATGGAGGCCATGGCTTCTCCAGTGCCTGCTCCTCATAGCTGTTATAGCTGCTTTTATACCTCTCACCATAGTGTTCTCTAAACACTCTCTGTCTGTAAGTTCCATGTAGGAAGGCGTGTGGTTTATTATCCTAGGATTTATTTTCAGTGCTCTGTATGTTTTTAGAACATAGTAGATGCTCAACCGTACTTACTGAATGATAGGTAGATGACTGGAGACAGAAGTGGATGAAGGTCACAGTAATTATCTGTCTGGTCAGTCATTTATTCAAACTACCTCAGGCTAGTTGTGTTTAGTTTATTTCTCATTCAAACCTGAATAGCTTGACATGGTTTCAGAAAAACAAAAGAAAACAACTTCAGTGCTTTGTTTTCTGATTTACTTGATTTTTACATTTTAGTACACCATTACATATTCTTTTTCTTCTTTTTAAAAATATTTCATTTATTTATTTGAAAGCGAGAAAGAGAGAGAGAGAGAGCATAAGCAGAGGCAGAGGGAGAAGCAGGCTCCCACTGAGCAGGGAGCCCAATGTGGGACTCGATCCCAGGACCCTGGGACCATGACTTAGCCGAAGGCAGACGCTTAACTGACTGAGCCACCCAGGCATCCCACTATTACATATTCTTAAAGGAATAAACTTTTTTTTTTAAGTAAGGAAGAGGCTTTTTAGATAGGGAAGAAGATGACCTCCACACTAGATTCTCGCTGGTTACTGAATGGCTCCTCTTTGGCTCTTTCCATGTGGAGAGTCATTAGCAGTGTAACTTGTACCTGAGATGATGGTTTGTTTCCCCTTGATTAAGGCGACCCACAGGAAGAGAATGTTGTGAACAGAATTTAAAAACTGAGAAGGGAAGGGAAGAAAGTGGAGACAGTGCTGGTGGAGGAACGTAGTAGGTATATGCCGGAGAGATTGGAACTCTGCCCACAGCAGAGCCCGGCTCACAGGTCCTGCTCACGCCCAGCTCTTCCATCCGAGGGACTCGGCTGGTGGCACAAGCCTGTGGCCTAAAACCATGGGTTGTGGTCATGGGTCCAAGTGGATCTGGCTTCTTCCCCAAGGCGTGGTGGACTGCGAAGCATGGCATAGCTTGCTTTTCTTCGGGCTCATGGTGAAAATATACTACTTTATGATTTTCAAAGTACTTCCTCCACTCTGTGAAGTGGCCAGATTTTCAGCTGAGAATGCGGGGATTGCAGCTGACTTTTCTCACTAGGGTGCAGTAGTGATAATCATTTAATATTGTCTTGTTTTTGTTTTGCTAGGATTGAGTGGACTCAGTCTATCCTAAGTCTATTTTAACTTTTCTGGAACTTGACCTTGACCTCTAATCCCCCTACTGAGCTTTTCTAAGTATCAGAATGCTCAAAGCCAAGGTGTGACTTTTTTTTTCTTTTTTACTTTTACCATTTCTGACACCAAATGTGTGGGTGCCCCCCGCCCCCCACCCCACACACACCAACTAATTCTTCAACTCTGGACACCAACTGAGTGTCCCCCCAGTTCAGTTCAATTCTGACACTACCTGGAGTTAGCATAGACCCCAGAGGTTAAGGGCTTGGTGGCACCCCCATGTCAGATGCCAGTCCCAATGTGTCAACTGTACTTCTGACCAACTGGCTATGAATTCAAGGGAGGTTTCCACAACCCCCTCCTTAGGTATGATAATTTGCTAGAATGGCTCACAGAACTCAAGAAGACTCTTATTATTACTGGTTATTGTAAAGGATGCACCTCAGGAACAGCCAGATGGATGAGATGTGTAGGGTGAGGTAAGGGAGGAGGGGCTGGGAGCTTCCAGACCCTTCTCCGGGCGAGCCACCCTCCCAACACCTCAGTGTGTTTGCTGACCTGGAGGCTCTCCAAATCTCATCACTCAGGGGTTTTGTGGAAGTTCCATTAAGTAGGCACGATTGAGTAAACCATTGGTCATTGGTGACTAACTCCATCACCAGGCCCTCGTTCCTTCCCAGGGCCAGGGATGGGGGTGAAAGTTCCAACCCTCCTATTACATGGTTGGTTTCTCTGAGGACTAGCCCTTATCCAGAAGCTGCCTAGGGGCCCACCAAGACTCACCTTTTTTTTTATCATAAACTCACGAATGACTGAAAGGGGCTTGCTAGAAATAACAAAAGATGTTCCTTTTGGCTCTATCACTCAGGAAATTTCAAAGGTTTTAGACTCTGTGTCAGGAACCAGGACAAAGGCCAAATAATACACTTCTTGTAGCACACAAGGCTAAGCTAAATACCAACATGTCAGTTTCTACTGGGCCAAAAAATACCTACTGTTGTAACTTTAATTCTTGTGCCAAAAATATACAAATAAATATTTGTGTAAATATGAAGAGTAGTAGATAACTATTTTTTTAAAAAACTAAGTAAAAATTTAATCTTCTAGTCAAACTACAATCCTTCTAAAACTACCATCTTTTTTATTTTTTTTTTAAGATTTTATTTATTTATTTGTCAGAGAGTGAGCACGAGCAGGGAGGAGGAGCAGAGGGAGAGGGAGAAGCAGAAGCAGACTCCCTACTGAGCAGGGAGCCCGATGCAGGACTCGATCCCAGGACCCTGGGATCATGACTTGAGCTGAAGGCAGAGGCTTAACTGACTGAGCCACCCAGGTGCCCCTAAACTACCAGACATCTTATGAATAATTGTTCCACACATTTTACTTACACATTTCAAGTCTTTACTGAACCTTTCTCTAAAAAAAAAAAAAAAAAAAAAACAACAAAAAACAAAACCAATTTATTTTTAATAACAAGAGATAATATATACCAGTTTCTTCTTTTTTCATTTTATTCATGTATATATAAGGACTCTTAAACATTACATTATGGCTGATTAGTCTGTAGAATTTAATCTTGGAATGCGGTAGTGAGAGAAGGATGTGAGATTCAGCTTGCAGGTTCTCCCTTTCCCTGGCAGTGTGTGTCTGGACATGGGATCGTTCTGAGCCTGAGCTAGCTTGCTTCTAAAATCCCAGCACTGCCCACATCATTGTGTCATCATGACAAATAAATGGAATAAACGTATACAATCCTTTATTAAATGTAAATATTGTTCCTCAAAACTAATATTTTCATTTTATTAGCGTTAACTCTATTTACTATATTGATACTTGCTTTTCTCTGTGTCTCCTGTTGCCCCTCCCTGACACTGAAATGGGGAAGGAAGAGAAAAACATCCCTAGAAATGGATACATATCACTCTTTTTTTTTTTTTTTTAAAGATTTTATTTATTTATTCATGACAGAGAGAGAGAGAGAGAGGCAGAGGGAGAAGCAGGCTCCCAAGGAGCAGGGAGCCCAATGTGGGACTCGATCCCGGGACCCTGGGATCATGACCTGAGCCGAAGGCAGACGCTTAACCATCTGAGCCACCCAGGCGCCCGATACATATCACTCTTAGCTCCTCTAATTTGGGGAGATTTTTACTCATGTTTATTAAGGAGCAAGCACACTAATTTATAAATTCATATTCAAAAATTATTTTCTTAGTAGAAGTGACTTTTAGAAAGTCTGCTTTTGGGATGAGAGCTTCACATGGGTAAAGAGTGGCAGTGCCATTTTCAAAGGCACCAAAATGAGCCAGTATAACAGGTACAACAG